CTGCCTCACTGAGAGCAACAGGAGCAACTGAGGCCCTCAGGGGACCCTGGTAATGTCTGGAGACATGTGAGACTATCAGGACTCAAGACCAACACCAACGCCTGGCTGGTGGAGACCCAGACATGGTCAGACATCCTGCAGTGTGCAGGACAGCCCCAGACAGCTCCACCACCACGGTCGGTCGGCAACCCTGGCTGAGAGGGTGGGGCTGGGGAGGGCATTGTGAGGGGTAGGGACAACAGCACAGGCGTATGGGGCCCTGGGCAATAGGCCTAATCAGCAGGGAAAGGAGGGAACCCACGGTGACCAAGGGTGCAGAGGAGCGGATGCTGCCAGAGCAGCACCTCACAGGCTGGGTGAAAGGGTTCACACTGTCTGCTAGACATAGAACACCTCTGAGGGCACTGGATGGGGGTCAACCCCTGGCCCTGTGTTTATGATGTGTGCGTGAGCGAGTGTGCATGTGGGGAGGGCCAGGGAGAGGCAGGGAGAGGCAGGCAGCGCCGGCTGCCTGCCCCATGGTGGTGGTGGCCCCATGTTGAGTGGGTGAACCTGTAAGGGCTGTCTTGGGGGTATGGGCGCGAGAAATCAGGGAAAGTTAGCCCAGGCGCTCTGCGCTGGGCCCCTGGACAGGGCTCCTCTTTCTTGGGGATGGCAGAGGAGAACCGCTGAGGAAGTCTTGTCTGGGGCCCAAAGAGCCAGCTCCCTTTTGGGTCTGACACGCCCAGGTGGGGCGTCAACACCTGGCCACAAGCTCCTGGAACTCTGAGATGATTCTGGGCCAGAGGCTGAGACACAGATGCAGGGAAAAGCCCCAGTTAGTCCCCACGTAGCACCTCATCTTCTCAGTATAAGCCGGTTTGCAGCCTCTGAGAACAGAGATGGCACAGTGTGCCCCCTGGCTCCCAGCGGCTCCCATGGGGCACGGCACACAGTGGTTCTCCATGAACCTCTGCCAAGAGAGTGACTGACTGACAGAAAGAGGACTTTCACACAAATCCGAAGACTCTGAGCTGGAAAAACAGGTAGGGCACAGAAAAGGAGGTGTCCACCAAGAGAGAGGGCCAGTGATATTAGAGTTTCCCCAGGGAACGAAGAAGAGGAAGGCAGAAAGCCTCCTTTGGACAGAGCAGCACAGAGCGTGAGGCTTAGGGGGCAGGGTGCTGCCAGTGGAGACTCACACACTGGCTGCTGGGGGGTTGTGGGAAGAGGAAAGAGATGGGCTACAGTGCTGGAGGGAGAGGGGTGGAGGGCACCAACACTCGGGCAGACCACTCCAGCTAACAACCCGGAGCACTGCCAAGAGTGTTGTCACAGGGAGGTGGACAGGGGGCCCTGCACAGCAGGCAGGTCTGGATCCAAGGCCAGATTCAGCGCTGGGCAGCCACGCCCCAGTGCTTCCACATCATCTCCGGCCCCAAACACTCCCTTCAGTTCCAGACTCACATGGGCTCCATTGCCACCCGGAATCTCAGGGACATCAAAAATCCAACAGGGCAGGAACTGCGCTCTCATCCTCCACAACCTCGCCTCCCTCACGGTCCCATCTCCGCCGATGGCCACACCCTCTACCATTCTGCCCCCAGATTTTTTTCCTATACACCCAAGCAATTCTCTGACAACAGCTGGGTGTCCCACAATTCAACTCAGTTCCGACACTGTCTGCCCAGCTCACAGAATTCAGGAAGCCAGATCACACACTGGATTTTTACAAAGGATGTTAAAGAATACAAAATAACAGCCAGACAGAAGAGACACATGGAGCAGAGTCTAAGGAAAGGACTTCCGTGCCCTGGGTGCCCTACTGTCCCCACTTCTCCACGTGGTCACCAACCTGGATGTTCTCCAAAGCCAGTTCTTCTGGATTTTCATTGTACTCAGCCCTTAGGAGACCACATGCACATTTCTTACTAATAAGTCACTCGGGTCCCAACCTGGACCTAGATTTGCCTCTGCTTCTGTGCTTACCAACCAGATCCTATGAATCTAGGGGACCCTTCCTCAGGCCAGGTTCAGCATCTGATGATTCCTCCCACCTTGCAGGGGCTGCCTGCCCATGTGTTGGGCCCCCATAGCTGTGACAGCCCCCAGTTCTGCCCCTGCCCTCGTGTGTTCTCACCAAAGCCCACATCAACCTTGAAGACCAAGGTCAAGCCGGGCGACTCATCCCATAGCTGCCCACTCCAAGCCCGGAGTCCTAGCCGCTGTCCCAGCCTCTCTTTGCCCTGCCCTCCATGACCCCCACCCCAGTGGACTCTATACAGATGCTGTTCCTTGAAGTTGTTCAGGACTTCTGCACCTGCTATCCCCTCTTCTCCTGATACCCAAGGGTTCCCTCCCCTCAGAGGAGCAGCTTTCTGCTAGAAGGCCACCCCTGCCCAGCCCTCCCTGCTCTCCCGACCCTTCTCCTGCTTGTGTGTGTCCATGTACTGTCCCCTCCTAGAAGTGCAGCTCCCCGAGGCCCAGACCAAGCACTCCGGTGTTCAGGACAACGCCTGACTGAAATGAGCGACATTCCTCAAGCCCTGTTTCCAAAGGGGAGAAGAACAGCCTTTGCTGCCACGATGTCCCGAAATGCTACGGGAAATGCACCCGGCACACACAGCAAGTCCTGCCGAGTACTGCAGTAGCTGTGAGGAGGGCTGAGTCAGGGTCACTGAGTATCTCCCAGGCTCGGCCTCTCACTGCACCGCAGAGCTGGGGTCCAGCATGCTGGCCTGCTGGTGGCCGTCTGCTGCTCTCTTGGGCAGTGGCAGCTCAAGAAACTGAAACGTGTTTCCAGAACTTCTCTCATTCTAAAATGACTTTGAAGAGCTCTCTCTCTCCCACAAATAACCAATGAATACTTTTTTTTCAAAAGTAAGGCAAATCAAAAACTTTTGACAAAAGAAAAAAAGCCTTTTACAAATGCACACACCTGAACAAACTTAAAGGACACATGGTCATAGACTAAGGGGAGGGTGGTAATGGGAGGGAAGTGGGGAGGGTGGGAGGGGGGACTGGATTGGGAGTAAAAAGGAGAAAACTGTATATGAACAATGATTAAAAAAATAATAATTAAAAAAAAACAAAACAAATGCACACACCTGAGCTGCCCGACTTCCAAATCTTATACACCTTACCCACATGGCTATTAGGAGTACTGCCATAGGCCACCACACAGCTTCAAAATGAACTCACAAAAACACATGGTTGGAAGGGCCAGCAGGAAGTAGCTAAGGGGCCTGTGCGTGAGGAAGTGTCCCCAGGACCGACCATATGCTTGCCAAGCCACACCCACAGCACTGGGAGAACCGGCATGACCGCTGGTCAAGGCCAGGCTCATAGGGAAAAAGCCTGTGGACTAGAAAGACCGGCGCACACTCCCAGCAGACCCTGGTGTCTGCCGGAAGAGATCAACAGCCTTTTAATACCCTGTATTCGTTTCCTGCAGCTGCTGTAACAAATGATCACAAGATGGGTGGTTCACAGCAAAAGGACTATCTCCTCTCACAGTTCTAGAGGCCAGAGGTCCAGAATCAGCATCACTGGCCACCATCAAGTTGTGGTCGGGCCTCACTCCCGCCATAGGCCCTGGGGGAGAATCCATTCCTTACCTCTTCTACCTTCTGGGGGCTGTAGCCATCCTCAGCTCATGGCCGTACCCCATACCTCCCTTTGCTCCCCCCTCACAGGATACACCTGACTCTAGTTAGGAGCACTCCAATAATCCAGGAGAATCTCCCCATCTCAAGATCCTGTACTTCATCACACCTGCCAAGCCTCGCTGCCCTTTTGCCATACACAGTAACCCTCCCAGGTCCCAAGGATTGGCTGTGGAGATCTCTGGGGCCATCTTTCAGCCTGCCACAGCCTCTCCCCCTTCACTGTCTGCTGCTGCAGTTGCTGAAGGGTTGGGTGGGGTGGAGGATGCACGGGCTCAGGGAGAGCAGCCTCGAGCAAGGAGGGCTGAGGGGCTCCACAGCACTGCGCCCCTATGCCAGCTCTTATGGGGAGGCCTGCGTCAGGACAGGCCCAGCATGCTGAGGACAGGAGGGACGGCCATTTGCAACGCCACCTCTTTGAGAGGAGCAGCCTCACCATCATTCCCAATCTCCCCAGATGGATGAAAGACCTAAGTCATAAACCAGATGAAAAACATCCTGTTCTGCTCCGGGGACCAAGGGGTCACCTGAAATGAAAACAGCCTGGAACAAGGTGTTGCTATCACTGAACTTGGCCTTATTCCTTTGGCTACATGCAAGGGCGATCACAGGGTGTCAGGGGCTCTGCCCCAGCAAACCCAGGCACGTGGCCCCAGGGCCACCGGCCCAGCTCCCAGAGTGCCTGCCACCCTGTCCCTCCCCCAGGGCGGTGACATGGGACAGCCTGACTGGCAACTCCAAGATCACAGGGTGGGTGGTGCCGTCTCAGGGACAGGCTGTGGCAGGAGGACCTGTCCTCCCTCCCAGGCCTCCTTCAGGGCCTAGGCCACTTCCCACGCAGCCTGTCGCCACCCCAGCTCTCGTCCTGCCAGTGCCCTCTGCCCCCACAGAGAACAGGCTGAGCTGTCTCCTATATCCACCCCTCACAGGCTTGTTCTTGCCGCCCAGCATACCTCAGGCCAGTGGCATGCAAACCATTCTGCAGAAGCCTTGTTTAGGAAAAATAACCATGTTCATGCAGCTCATGTGAGGACGTGGCTCCACTGACTAGCACAGCAGAGAGGAAAGGAAGCCCCAACCTGAGACAGTCTATGTCGCCAACAAGAAAATGAGTGAGACTGCCGGGCACAGTTGGGCCGCCCCATCTGGTCAGCCCTTCGGCCCCGGCCATCCCAGCATGAGCCTGGGGCCCCCTGCCCACACCAGGACACCGTGGGCTTCCCTGGTCAGCATCCCATACCCGGTGCCAGCAAAAGAGATGACTCCGTGCTGGCCATAGGAAGACAGAGGGAAGGGAGGGAAGAACCACTCAGCCCCTCTCTTCCCCTGTCTGCACAGCTGTCCAGCGGCACTCACCACATTCCAGAAGAGCGGGTTGAAAATGATGGTGAAGACAGCAGCCACGAAGCAGGGGTCTGAGGGGTCCACGTAGCCCAGCAGCCAGGTCATAACGCAGAGGTCTGCCTGCAGAGACAGAGCCAGTGTCAGCAGGAGACCCCCCCCCCAGCTCCCTCCTGGCCCCACCCAGCCCCCCACATAGGGTAGCCCAAGGAACGACAAGCCCCCAGAACTCAGAAGTTACCCTCTGGGAACACGCTGGGAGGCTCAGACACATCCAAGTCCAGCAAAGGTTACTACAGTGTAATCTCATAAAACTGAAGATGAAGAGCCAAAACCCAGTCAGCTGTGTTGTGCCTTGTTGGGAGCCAGGAGAGCTGCAAAGCAGTGTGCAGGGATGCCGGACGAGGAAATCAGTGGTTCAGAGGATGAGTGTCCAGCACACTGATGGGAAGTGACCCCACTGGGCCTGACACCTGCATCACCAGAGTGCCATGATGGGGACCCTGCCAAGATGGTCAGAGACCACAGAGCAAACCTGAGGGACCAACATCATGTGCAGAGATGCAAAACTTCACCAGCAACCAAGTAAACCAAGCTAAGCAACACTGATGTGCCTCTTTTCCACCACCTGAATGGCACGCAGTCCTGTGTGTTGAGTGTTGATGAGGCTGTGAGCTGAACCGGTGGACTCCCATGTAGCCACAGTTCCACTCCCAGGCATCTGCCCCAGAGAAACTCACATGTGTGCCAAATGCATGTGCAAAGGCCTCCCTCTCTGCAAACCTGCAATGCTAATGTGTCCATCTAAGCAGTGGCAATGAGAGTAACAGCTTTCTAGAGCCCTCCAGCGCGTCATGCCCACTTCTTTCATTATTGTCACCACGACTGGAATGGGAAACTGAGTCCCAGAGCACACTACCCGTGGAATCAGTTGAGTTTCTCCCTGGGCTGCCCACCCAGGGCCTGCAGAGCGCTGTGCCCAGTAGTCAGTCAGCCTGCGTGAGGGCAGCTCTGCCCTCTCCAGCCTGTCTCTGGAACTGAAAATGTTACGGACTTTTTACGATTTTCGGGGTTTCATCACATCATTTTGTGTAATGGTGAAAAATAACCAGTGGCCATGATAGGGGCCTGGCAAGGTAAACAGAGGCACGGCCCACTGGAGTGAATGCTTTGAGGGTCTGTCCTGGCAGAAGAGCTGGCCGGGGCACTTACAGCATGCATCTGTGCAGCCCCTTTGGAGAACAGATATGCCTCCCCTCCTGGGTGCATACCCTGGAGAAATGCTTGCACATGTACACAACAGGGTTCATAGCAGCCTTGTCTGGAATAATACTAAACTGGAAACATCCCATTTATCTATCAACAGGAGAATGGAATTTTTACATGACAGTATGTTCACAGTATGCAACATTAAATAACAGGAGGAAATGAATGCATTACAATTACAAGGATGAATATCAGAGACATGAGGAGTAAAAAAGTCAAGTCTTGGAAGACAAATGAACTACACAACAGCAGTAGGCCAAACTGAGTATGTAGCAGGCCACCTCTCGGAGCCAGGGACAGGAGGTATCTTCTGCCTATCAGAGTGAAGTTTTCAAAGATTAAAGTTTTCAAAGCAGACGTCAAGAACCCAGCTGTTTGTGTTGGGGAGGCAGGGATGTGGGAGAGGGAGGAAACAGGGGTATGGATTTCTAGTAAGGGTTTGCTCTTCAATTTAAAGAGAGAGAAAACATCCGTCCTAGAAAGGAGAGAAAAATACAGTGCAGCCTATCCCTAAAGCAGGTGAGCTATAGAGTTGCAAACCAACTGCACTCCTGCACCAGCGGGCGGCATTCTAAGCACATACCGACCGGACGGGGTGTGCTGCAGAGTCTCTACAGCATGCATCACATGTTTACAGAGCAACACCCAACCACGTGGACTAAATATTCTTTCCCTGTGTGTTTAAACAAAGACCGACGTGCAACACACTGAGTTCATGGTATCTGGAGTATGGCCACTCGTCCTCCACAGTGTGGACCAGGGCACTGGTCACAGTGGCGGGCTGCCCCTGCACGGTGCAGTGCTCAGCAGCACCCCGGCCCCCACCAACTCCATTCAGACAGCTTCCCCCAGTAGCAACAACTAAAACTGTCTCCAGACGTGCCCGAATGCCCCAAGGGACAGAAGTGCCCACAGCTGAGAGACCAGAGGGGAGAACAGCTGAACTCTTTCAGCATTGATTTCTTTCTTTAAAAGCTAAGACACCTGCCCCAGTTCAAGGTGTAAGTCTGTCCCCAGTCCCTGCATTACCCTTTGCACTTCTCTTTTTCTTGTTAGAGAGAGTGTTAGAGGCCCAGAGCACTGAAAGCATTCTGGTTACTCTCCATATGCAACTCAAGGAAAATAAATCTAAGTCTGTCAGAGTTCTCATCTTCCCCACAATGTCTATTTTCATGGTGCTTTGGTTCTGTTGCTTGAGGACCCAGTGTCTTCTTCCCCAAGCATCTGTCTCCCACTCAGAGGGGAGGGGGTGGGACGAAGCCCCTGACCAGGTCTACCCCACAGCCCTGAGCCAGGGAACAAACAGCAGCCTCCACACCATGTGCTCCACCAGGACCTTCTCCTGGCCTAACTCAGCCTGCCCTCCAGACAATGCTGCTGGGTGTGACAGTAGTAAGATTCCAGAAAGCCACTGAGTGTGGAGGATGTGGCCTGGCATGTCCTTCACTTATGTGGGCCTCCTCTCCCATCAGCCTGTGTTTCTCAAGAGCAAACCTTTACCTGACTGTGGCCAAGGGTGGAGCTACGCAGAATGAAGCCCTCAGATTCAGACCAACCTAACAGCATGTGAGGAATGAATGAACTGACAAAAGCACGGAACGTGCACCATTAGCGCGAAATGACTGAGGGAACGTGACCTCAGAAGCACTGAGTGCATTAATGAATGAATGACAAAAGAACCACTCAGCCTACAGTGAGGAGGGGTGCTGGGTGCACAGCCTTGCCTCAGGCTGACCTCGGCCTCTGGACCCACTGTGGGCATTGCCAATGCCTACTGGGCAGGCCTGCAAGCCACACTGGGCCTTCCAGCTCCTTCTGTCTCATCCCAGCTGTACCCTGGCCTCCGTCAGAACTGCGGACACTTGGCAGCTCTCAGAGCAGGGCCTCACCAAGCCCAGGACCATGGCAGGAAGCTTCAGGTTCCCCTAGAAACACACCAGGCAGGGTGCAGCCACTCGTGAGGACAAGCAACTGGAACAGGCCTCAGAACTGAGCTAGAGGCATCTGCACCCCAACCCCAAGCCTCGAGACCCCGGGGCTGAACCAATGGACGTTCTGGCTTCTGTCTAATAAGACACATTTTTTAAACATGTCTGACGGCAAGGCCCTGTCCATAGGAAGGACCTTTGAGGAGGAAAGCCAGCCTAGGGGACCACACAGAGCCCTGCTCTGGTCCTGCTCAGCCACTCCAGAGGAGTGAACAGCTGACCCTCCCCAGTGGGCAGTCACACTCAACTCTGCCCCTTCTACTTGGTGCCCATAGCAACCCTCAGCCCAAACCCACCTTGCCGCTGCCCCTACCCCATCCACAGGTTCAGTCTGTGTGATGATCCCACAGTTCCCCTGTTTGACACACCAGCATATCCACTGGCCCTCAGGACAATGCCCACAGAGCCCCACTTGCTGCCATGTCCAGCACACACCTCCTCACCAACCCAGGGCTCACAGCTCTCAGCGCTCACTGACAGATGAGGATTCACCACCCCACCTGCCAGCCTTCCTGCCCTTCCTCTTCACCCATACACAGAATGCTGCACCTTTCCCAATGGCTTATGCACATGTCTAAAATAACTTCTCTCCCTCTGTAACTTCCCCCAGCAAACCAGCCTTCACCCTTCAAGACTCAGCGGGAGCATCTCCTCCACCCCTTACCCATGGCACCCTCCTTTGTCTCCTAGTGCACATCCCGTTACAAATATCTCATTATCTGTCCCTATCCTGCAACTGCTCTCTGGGCAAGGGGCCATTCCTCCCCCACCTTTTGTGTCTTCTGCCTGACATGAAGAGGAAATGTTTGCTGAGCCAACAGGGATCCTCATTCAATCATCAGTAAAACTCAGGAGCAAAAGGCATGTCTCTGAGGGGCCCTCTAGCTTGGCCACCTGTGCTCCTGGGACTGCGGTCCCCTCCCTCTGGCTGTCCACAGGAGGCAGGGAACTGTCCAGGGGCCACTGTGAGCATTCTGCAGGTGAGCAGCTGAGAACAACAGCAGATCCCACTGGACTCAGGAGGCGTGGTCAGAGTCACCAGCTGCCCAGACACTGTGCTTCACAAATATTTGTTTTTATGGCATCTTTAAAGCTGAAAGATCCAGCAATGTTCACAAGCATTGACAGGAGGTGGGATGGCCAGACTAAGGAGAGGGTAGGGCCCCCGCAGGTCCTTAGAAACCCCAGGCCTGGAATCTATTGAAGGCAGGTCACCCCGGTTGAGACCTGCCTGTCCCTGGGGTGTGCATCTAGGTGCACGGTATATACGGATGACCCCAGCCCACACTCAGACACCATTACCCCCATTCCTCAACTCCGGAACCCAGGAGTCCCCGCCAACCGGCTCCCTGGCCACTGGCAGCTCCCCACAAAGGGTCTGAGGGCCTGGGTGTATCCCCTGAGTCTCAGGGCCAGCAACCTGGAGCATAACATGAGCTTCCTGCCACTTGCTAACTCTGTACTGAGAGTCCCATGGGGTTTACATGGCAATTCCATGGACAAGGACTTCACTTTTGGCCAGACACCCCCTTCAAGGAGAGTCCTGGCAGGGTGCCATTCTGCTAAGCCCGACTCCTCTGTTCCCCATCCTCCTGCCCTTGAACACAATCAAGCAGCTGAGTTCAGATGATGAAAACTCCCCCTGCAGTTGGAGTGTACAGCTGGCTGTGGTCCAGTTCTCACCAAGCAGAGAGGAGTAAAACACCCTCTCCTGCCACTGCCCACCAACCCTGTGCGCTACAGTTCAAGTCCTCAGCACCTCATGCAGCGAAACAGCATTGGAGGCCCAGGTTCACAGCCCTGAGGGCCTGTTCTCCAGGCCCACTGATGTCCCACAGCCTATACTATCTCGGGGTTCTCTGGTCTTTA